TTCTATCGACAAATAAAGAGCAACGCCGGTTCTTTGCTCTCTATTTGAGTGCAGATGAATATACCATGCGACTGGTAGCCCGTCGTACCATACTTCCCTGCTTGGAAACCATATATGTACCTATGTTTTATTACAATAACCCTTTTTGCAGGTTTAGTAAATCGCCAGATCCCCATGTCCTCCTCATTCTTTTCCCAATTTTGTCTGGAGTCCAGAACGGTATTTCACTTCGGAGGAGAAATTCAAAGTAGCTACCTTTAATCTCTACAGAGAAAGTTAGCCTTTTGGAGCAGTTAACCCCGTAGCCGTTCTGGGTTGACCCACTTAGATATGTTGCCTATTGCTCATTTTATTGGCTTACTTATCTCCTCTTCTCTTCTTCTTCGTTATTGGTGCTGTTACCGCCTAAGCGATTTTGGCCGAGTCCAAAACAGCACGCCAGTCATTTCTATTCTGTGCTAACTGACGCCAATTGGAAATGCCAAGTGAAGCCAAGTCCTTCTCCACCTGGTCTTTCCAACGCAGAGGAGGCCTTCTTCTTCCTCTGTTACCAGCATCGCGGCCCGCGTTGAATACTTTCAGAGTAGAAGCGTTTCTGTCTATTCGAACGACATGGCCAAGCCAGCGGAGCCGCTGAATTTTAATACGCTGCTTATGTCCATGTCGTTGTGAAGCTCATACAGCTCATCGTTCCATCGTCTGCGGTATCCGCCATCGCCAACGCGTAGAGGTCCGTAAATCTTTCGCAAAATCTTGCTCTCAGAAACTCCAAGAGCCGCCTCATCAGATGCTTTCATTGTCCATGCCTCCGCGCATGTGCTGGTGGCACAGGCATGATGAGTGACTTATAGAGTGTGATCTTTGTACGACGAGAGAGGCTTTACTTCTCAATTGCCTACTCAGCCCAAAGTAGCACTTGTTGGCAAGAGTGATTCTCCGTTGGATTTCAAGGCTGACATTATTATTGGTGATAATGCTGGTTCCCAAATAAATGAAGTCGTCTACTTTTTCAAACTTGTAACTGTCAATAGTGACGTGGGTGCCAATACGTGTATGGTCTGACTGTTTGTGTGGTGACAGGAGATACTTCGTTTTGTCCTCAATGGTATCAAACGGCTCGGAGGAGAGGTCCTTCCCTATTCTGACGGAGCTGGTGGTTTTGCTCAACGTCATTTTACGCAGCCGTATTAGTTTCGCGGGGATACCAAATTCAGACATCGCGGCATAAAGACAACTACTCTTCGTGCTCCCGAAAGCGGCTTTGAAGTCGACAAATAGATGGTGTGTGCCGATCCTATTCTCGCGGGTCTTTTCCAA